TTTAGGAAAAAATTAAAAATATTTCAGATCACAAAATTTGATGGACCACATACCTACTTCAACCCTAGGTTGAGTCGTGACCATCGACAGTTAAACTCTGACTTCATTTGTCATAATATACTAGGAATCATGGGTGATACACCACAAACCAAAATGTCGATAATTCAGAAGAATATAAAGGAGAAGTTCAAGTTTGATATTTCCTATAAGAAAACATGGATTGCGAAGAACAAAACAATTGCTAAAATTTTCGATGATTGGGACTCATCATATGACATGTTGCCAAAGTTTTTGGGTGCCATCAAAAAGTATAACCCTGGCTCAATTGTTAAGTGGCGGTACAACTCTGAAACTCCTGAAGGTAATGTTTTTTTATGAGTATTTTGGGCATTCAAGGCCAGCATTTAAGGGTTTAAATATTGTCGACCTGTTATTAGTATTGATGGGACATTTTTGCACGAAAAGTACAAGAAAAAATTGTTAGTGGCGACTGTTTTTGATTCTAATAAGCAGTTGTTTCTCATTGCATTTGCTATTGTGGAAGAGGAGAATATGTCAAGTTGGGCTTTTTTCCTATATTACCTTCGGCGGATTGTTCTTAGACATCGGGAAAGAATACGTTTAATTTCTGATAGGCACAAGGGGATCCTTGCGGCTGTGAACAAGGAAGATTTTGGGTGGCATCCACCGCATGGTTATCATCATTTTTGTCTTCGACATGTTCGTAGTAATTTTAATACAGAGTTTAAGGATACACATTTGTACAATCCTATGTGGAGGGTTGGAAAGGCAAGACAAGTTCGCAAGTTCGATGATTTAATGAACTAGATACGTAACGTCAAAGAGGAAGCCTATAAATACTTGACTGATAGCGGATGACGGTATGACATCATGACAACCAACATTTCAGAGGTTTTCAATAGTTTTCTTCAAGGTGCTAGGTATTTGCCTATAATTTCTTGTGTGCAGTCGATATTTTATCGAGTCACGAAGTATCATTTTGAATGTCGATATTTGCACAATGCTCGCTCTAATTGTTGAGGAGTGTTGATAGGCATACTAATAACAACCTGTCGAGGCCTTCTTATGTTGTAAGAACATAAATCTAAGCTTACATTTTCTCTTTATGTCAAACAATATTGTCATTCCGCCATCATTATGTTCATAGTCGTTAGTGAATAGCGTAACTAAGGATTCATTAGGTAAAAGAACTCATCCTTTAAAGCCCAATGATAACTTAGAGTTTTAAACAGGGTTCTCATACTAAAATTCATTGTTAGAGATAAATTCTGTACATTGAACATTTAACAATAGTTCATATTTATAGGCAATTTATTTATGTTAGCATGCGATTGACATTAGAACATTATGTACTCACAATCACGGACTACACAATAATATCTACTGACACTTTTTGACAGTGAACCATTGTGTAGTCACACAGATTGCCATTTAACCAGTGTTTAGTCACATCAACCTAGTGTGTTGTCACAACGACTAATAATGATACAATTGTTAGTAGTGTAACTAGTTTTTATTCAGCAGCACTAGTGTGTTGTCACGGGTTTTAAACGTATCACGGGTCGTGAATCACTATGACGCAAGATGAATGAGGGTCTATTAAAATCAATGGACTATATTTCTCAGTGTGTTGTCAAAGTCACTGTGTACCAGTGTGTAGTCACGCGTACTGTACAAATATCTTGTTACTGTTTGACCATCAACTCAAACATAATGGTACTACACACTACTACACTACTGACAAGTGTATTTATTTCAGATAATAAAAATTACTATAAAAATATAATATAGGGCGGGTTATATAACATGTATTGCACATTATGTCTACTTCAGGGGCATGAGTAAGTGATACCAGTCGTAGGCATGAACCAGTGTGATTATTACAAGAGCGAGATGATGATTACAAGAGTGAGATATTTTTCTGATCCAAAGGAGTATTATGCCAGACTTCTTCGAGAGTGGGCTTTTCGTGCTAATGAATCACAGTCATTATGCACAGATTTGATAGAACTTGGTATACCGGTGTCACATAGACTTTCACTTACCATGCTCCAAAAGAATAGAATAAACTATGAAGCATCAGTTAAACGTATACGAAAGGAGAATAATAGGATGATGCTCCGCAAGTGCCGATATTATATGCTCCAAATAGCATCTGACATGGTCACAACTGCATGTGGTAGAGAGTTAACAGCTATTGAGCGATCTAATGTTTTGTCTAATGAACAATACCTATCAGATGAGTCTATGTCTGATGAAAATTAAACACTTTAATTACTGTTTACCTTATTAAGCATATAACGTTTATGTCTATGTCCTATTTACTTTAATCATCATTGTTGTTTTATAAGTTTATTCAGTGTGTTGTCATATGTCAACTTTTTCATTGTCACATCTTGTAATTGTCAATGTATGCAGTGTGTTGTCACTTTAATCAATCTATGTAGTGTGTAGTCAATCTATGCAGTGTGTTGTCAATTTAATCAATTTATGTAGTGTGTTTTCATATCCAAATTTTTTCATCGTCATTTTCCATCACTGACAAATCAGTTTCAAACTATGCCGAACCAAGCATATATATACTACCTTTCACAGTTGTGTAAATACACCACCATCAAACAAAATGTATAAGAGCACATCACATGCAAGTTCTTCTTCACGCAATCACCAAAATAGTTCATCTTCGGGTAACAAACGTGAACGCTCAACAGACAGCTCAACATCGCTGAACAAAGTTCTTTCTATCGAATCATATACTGACTCCAGTGGTGTAACATGGTATGGACGAAAACGTGCATTTCGCAATGAGCCCATCAACCCTTATCACCCATTCGGACAAGTTGGACATGTAATTGTTGGGCCTGCAACTGATTATCCACCTCCTGGTGTTCATATAGAACCCACACCAATATGGCGACAATTATATGACAAACGTTGTAACCTTGAAGTATTTTGTCGTTGGCATAGAATTACAGTACCAAAGGCACATTTGACTGATATTTACAATTCACAGAATTCAAACGATCATGATGAGATCATTTCAAGGCTTGAACGTGAAAATGATCAAATGCAGCGTCGTCTTGATTGTTTTCACGCACTCGATTATGCTAAAATAGAGTATTTTGATCCTGAATATGCCGAAATTAAAATTTTAGAGGATCCGTTATTTGTTTCTGATCCTGAGCTTTCTGATTTCTCTGATTTGGACGATGATGGGTTTGACCCTTTTATCCCATCATGTTTATGTGTACTCGATAATCCTTTATGTTGTTTTGAATATCAACCACTTTGTTGACATCTTATTTTTACATTTATACGTTCTGAATAACTTATATTTTTTCAGAACGTATACTTCTAGATGAGAAATTATTGGGTGTAACACTTACAGTTTGTATGTGACCTTAAATTTAACTAAATGTATATGTTTTTAATTTTTAAACTTTGATATGCTAAAAAATATATGTATTTTTTAATTATCAAAATTTATTTATTGAATGTAATTCAATTTTTAATTAAATAAAAATAAACTCATCATCTCACAAAGAAAGGGAGCAAAAAAATTTTAGGTATTATTGTTCAGGACAAAAATGTCAGTAGGATAAAGGAAATTTATGTATTTTTAAATTATCAAAAAAAATTTATTAAATGTAATTAAATTTTTAAATAAATAACATAAATGAAATTTATGTATTTTTAAAATATAAAAATTTATTTATTAAATAATTATTTTTAAATAAAAATTTAATATTTTACTCAGAAAAAAAAAAAACACAAAACCTATCACTAAGGAATAAATTAAAACTCAAGATAAAATTTAAGGTCAGTTATGATAATTGGTGTGCTTGGTCTTGTCGGTGGAGTTTGATATGCTAAAAAAATATAAGTATTTTAAAATTATCAAAATTTATTTATTGAATGTAATTAAATTTTAAATAAATAAAAATTTAATTACTCATCCTCTCAAAAAAAGAGGGAGTAAAATATTTTTAGGTATTATTAGGGAAAAATATATCAGTAGGACAAAAATAAATTTATATATTTTTAAATTATCAAAAAAAATTTATTAATTAACTTTTTTATTAAATAAATAATTAACATTATTTTATGTGTAGGTGGTACAACATAAAATAATTGAGTAGTTTGATTATTATATATGTATTATTTTATTTATAAACATCACATTTGTTGGTGTGGCTGGATCACATGTTATTAATAACTGTATGACTTGATCTGGCGTGTGGAGGTAACGACGTCAAACAGAATGATGTCTCTTATAAAGACGTCAAATCGAATGACATTTTTAATGATGAGCTGACTAGGTAGGCCAAGCTACAATTTTGGGCTAAAAAACGTCAAATGGACTGACATTTTTAAGATAAAGACGTCAATCCATTTGACGTCTTTATCCTAAAAATGTCAAGTCGTTTGACATTTTTAAAAATTGCCTGTATTTAAAAATTACTTTTAAAATTATCTTTATTTGAGACTTTTTTCTTGAAAAAAAATCCATGGAATAGGCCAAAAGCTCCCCCCACGACCATACTCGAACACATAACTTTAGGGTAAATTTATAGTTTCACATAGGGTCATAGTGTAATTGCCCATAAATTAAGCAACACGAGATGCCCCTAGCAGCAAACCAATACAAAGTCAATAAAGAAGAATGAAGCCACGCCTAAGCTTACACCAATCAATTCCTTTCTCTCTCTCTCCGCAAACTACAAAGCTGGAACAGAAACAGAACTCAACAGTTTCCATTTCCATTCTTCTTCTGCTTCCACAAAGTTTAAAAGCACCAAACACAACACAACACAAAACCAACACTTTTGTGTTTCTTTTGCCGCCTCCGCCATTGGGGAAACAATGTTCTTCAACTTCAACCTCCTCTGCAATTCTCTCTCCTCCTTCCTGGTAGAGAGAGAAACAACCATCCTCAACGATGAAACCATTACAAAGTCAATGTACTGCTATTAACACCCATGGACGCCAACAATAAATATACTAAAACCAACCCATACTCATCTCATCTTCAATGTTTTCTTTCTCTTCATCATTGTCAAAGAACTAAGAGATCTCTCTTTGCTCTTCTCTCCCTCTTCTTGCTTCTGCTCTTAGCTTGTAATGGTGTCTCTATGTTCTGTTTCTACATCCCTTTTCCGGCCAAAGCCCCCTCGGATCCCGCCAGTTTCTCGCCGGAAAATGTATCAAGAAAGTGGGTTTCTATGTCTTCTTCAACAAAGGTCACTTCTTCTGTCATGCACGCAGTGAAAGAAGAAAACCCACCTGCAATTTCAAAGAGCCATTTAACTTTTGTGCATAAAAATCATAACTTGGTTGTTCTCAAGAACAATCCTTCGGTGTATGCAATGAGAAGGAGGAGAAAACACAAGTCTGTGTTCAGGATGCTACGTTCAGAGACCAGAATAAAACAGTTTTCCACGAGATTGAAGGAGTTTTTCAGTGGGAGTCCTTCGAATTCTTCGTGTAAGTTTCGTTTTTTCATGACTTGGATTTCTTCATTGGAGTCATTTGGTGGGAGAGAACTGTTTACAGTACAGAGTGTGTTTAAATCACATCCAAATGGGTGTCTATTAATTGCATCAAATTCAATGGATTCAAGAAGAGGAATGAAAATTCTAAGGCCTTTTTGGAATCATGGGTTTCGAGTAACGGCAATTTCACCTGATTTTGATTATTTGTTCAAGCAAACTGCTGCACAAGAATGTTTTGATCGGTTAAAGAGAGGAAATGTCGATCCTGGGGCGGTTTCTTTGGGTCAGAACCTCTCAAATTTGCTTAGGCTTTGCTTATTATACAAGTTTGGTGGAATTTACATAGACACAGATGTTATTGTTCTGAAGAGTTTTGGGAACCTGAGAAATGCAATAGGGGCACAGACTATTGATCTTAAAACCCGAAATTGGAGCCGTTTGAACAATGCTGTGATGGTGTTTGATAAAGAGCATCCACTTGTTTACAAGTTCATTGAAGAATTTGCACTCACATTTGATGGGAATAAGTGGGGTCACAATGGCCCTTATTTGGTTTCAAGGGTTGTTTCAAGAATGATTGGAAAAGCTGGATTTAATTTCACAGTGTTGCCACCAGTAGCTTTTTATCCGACTGATTGGAGCAGAATTCGTAGTCTCTTTCAAGGGCCTAGAAATGAGACTCATTTGAAATGGTTGCTTGCTAAACTGGAGCAAATTTGCAGGCAAAGCTATGTGGTTCACCTTTGGAATAAGCAGAGTAGAAGGCTTAAAGTCGCAGAAGGGAGCATCATTGGACGCATAATGTCTGATTGTTGTGGGTTCTGCAATTCTTCTATATCGACGTTGTGAGTATAGAATTAAGGATGACAAGGTTATGCATCTTCTCATTGTACTTGTCTTTTGAGATGTGTAATTGTTTGTTGTTTGCGTTTATGAACTAACTCAGTTCATTCCACAAATTTAGTAAAGAGGGAATATAAGGAGAATGCTTACGAGATTTAGATTACCATAATTGAGAATATTGAGTTCATCTTCAAAGTTGTTCCACTTGTGTCTTCATGAGTATATCAACTAGCATCTAGAAATTGTGTTCTTGAACGTATCTTTTGCTTAATCAGTTTCGTTTGGTGGGATATGAGACTATGTACTCTTTGGGTCAAGTTTAGCTGTTCTACACTCTCGTGTTGATCTGAATTTGAGAGAAAAATTGGATTGTTTATTACCATACAATGAAGTTCATAGCATCATTGAGCGTCAGCTTGAGTTTACGACTGCTGTGAAGATCTGCCAGCTTCTATTCTACAGATACCAGCTTTTGGGCTTTCTGTTTACTTCTGCCTCAGCATTTTCATGGCTGTCTCTGTATTACTTAGATCATAAAACATCGAACATGGCTAATACTTTTCTTTGAAAGTTTGATAAGGAGTCGCGTTTCCAATAATTCTTTGATTTTCCTTCTTGTCAGTTGATTGAGAGAACAAAAATGTTAATTTTTATCACACGTCTGAAATCTTCTGAAGGGTTTTGCTGAACATTGGAAGTGCAAATTTGGTGATCCAACTGCCAATGCATATGTATGGATTAGTTGAAACATCAACCTTCTGCATACTCTTCTCAGAAGCATGTCCTTTACCCGAAGCCAACACATTTTGTTTCAGCACATGTGGCCTTTATGTGTTTTCGCTCTCAGCATCTACATATTCACAATGTCCATCCTGGTAAAGCGTGGAATTGAATATCTAGATGTGTGGAGTCATAATTTTCAAGCCATTTCTAACCTAGAACAATCTTGGTCCCAGGATTTTCGCAAATTAGTGAATTCATATCAGAATTTACGACACCCAGGCAATTAACAAAGCATCTGAGCCACTCAAGACTCCAAGAAAAAAAAAAAAAAGGAAAATGCTATTTGACTTAAAAATCTGACATAATTTGTTGACCTAATGACGTGACTTCATTGGAACCATTGGATTAACACCAAGTTCCAATGTTTGATGGAGTCCATAGTCAATCTAAAGATAATAATAAATTAGGTCAGTAAATTAGATCTCAATAACATTACTTAAAAAAAAATTCATGTTAAGATAAAATAAGTGGGGTAGAAAAACCAAGCGATGATTCAACACGGTATGAACAAGATACATTTTGCCTCTAGGAATCAATTATTACGAGCTTTTGACCCATGTCAAATCTTTTTAGAAAAAAATATCCCAACTAAGGGTTGATTTGAAAATAATTCTCGAATTTAAGTTCTTCTCAAAAACATCAATTGGATTGACGTATTTAGATTAAATGCGTCAAATAAATTGATTTTTTTAAGTTAATTCAGTGGCCCAGTGAACTTAAGAGATGTCAGACCATTTGACACCATTTAAATAGAAAATTCAAGAGCCGTCAAACCATTTGACGCCATCTAAATGGAAATCTAGCCCCCTTAACCAAAGGACGACACTCCACCAACAAAGACCAAACACCAAATCTAATCTAATGATTAATACACAAATAAATTTTGGATAATTATCATAACTGTCTCTTAAATTTTCTCTCGGGTTTTAATTTAGTCCTTAAAATTTTAATTTTTTTATTTCAATTAAATCATTCCATAATACCGTGATAGGTTTTTTGCCTGTTTTTTCTCAGTAAAATGTTAAATGTTTATTTAATAAAAAAATTATGACATTTTAAAAATACATAAATTTCGTTTGTTTCACTGATGTTATTCTCCCTAACAATGATACGTAAAACAGTTTTGCTGAGTTTTTGTTATTTATTTAAAAATTTAATTACATTCAATAAATAAATTTTGATAATTTAAAAATAAATAAATTTCTTTTGTCCTACTTAACTTTTTCTCCCTAACAATAATATCTAAAAATGTTTTGCTCTCTTTTTTTTTGTGAGAGGATTAGTTTTTTTTTTTATTTATTTAAAAATTTAATTACATTCAATAAATAAATTTTGATAAATTAAAAATACTTCTTTTTTTTTAGCATATCAAACTTTAAAAATTGAAAATGTATACATATAATTAAATTTAAGGCCTCATACAAACTTATTCATCCTGAAAGTGCGCACCAAACACATTCATAAGGCACCTCCATCAACTCCATTGGGCTTTTCGACTAGGAATATAAGTATTTTTAATTTATCAAAATTTATTTATTGAATGTAATTAAATTTTTAAATAAATAAAAAAACTCATCCTCTCACAAAAAAAAAGGAGCAAAACATTTTTAGGTATTATTGTTAGAGAGAAAATTTTTAGTATGACAAAAGAAATTTATTTATTTTTAAATTATCAAAATTTATTTATTGAATGTAATTAAATTTTTAAATAAATAACAAAAACTTAGCAAAACGGTTTTACATATCATTGTTAGGGAGAATAACATCAGTAGAAGAAACAAAATTTATGTATTTTTAAAATGTCATAATTTTTTTATTAAATAAACACTTAACATTTCACTCAGAAAAAAAGGCAAAAAATCTATCACGATATTATGGAATGATTTAATTGAAATAAAAAAATTAAAATTTTAAGGACTAAATTAAAACTCAAGAGAAAATTTAGGAGGCAGTTATGATAATTACCCAAAATTTATTTGTGTATTCATCATTAGATTAGATTTGGTGCTTGGTCTTTGTCGATGGAATGTTGTCTTTAGGTTAAAAGGGGCTGAATTTCCATTTAGATGGAGTCAAATGGTTTGAAGTCTCTTGAATTTTTCATTTCAATGGCGTCAAATGGTTTGACATCTCTTGAATTTACTAGACCACAAAATTAGCTTAAAAATGTCAGTCTATATTTGACGCATTTAATTTAAACACGTCAGTTTATTTAACGTGTTTAAAAAGAACCTGAATTTGAGAATTATTTTCAAACCAACCCTTAGTTGGGACTTTTTTTTAAAAAAAACTTTATATGGGTCAAAAGCTCCTTTTATTACCAATTTTATCTCCGATACACACATAACCAAGCTAAAAGAAAAATATAAACAACAAAAACTTGAATTTTGCGAACAAAATTCAATCTAAATTCCCAATCTTTACAAGTATTCAATGTATATGATGACAAAACAGGATTAATGAAATGGCACCACTCATAACGCCCACATCTTTCGATAGAAAATAGAGATTACAATTCATAATACGTTTTATCAGATTAGATGCAAAGTGGTGTATTTAAACATATGAAATTCTACGGAAGAACTTTTATCTAGGTAATGATTTATCACCTCAAAGAAACTAATTCAATACTTTGAAGTTGTTGGATGTTGTTGGAGAAATAGCAACCTTAGTTTATTAGGGTTTATTAAAATTTTTCATTTTTTACCTTTTTATATGTATTGTAACTTTCATTTGTTATATATTCAGAGGCTCTACACTTAGTTTGTATCTTTTTCATTCTCGTCTATCTCAAGTTGGTATCAGAGTCACCAACTTTTACTCTAACCCTAACCATCCGGCCATCAACAAGCAATGACAAATAAGCCTCCACACACCGACAAGTACCCAACACCGGCAACACCAAACCGAGAACCAACCACAAACCAAGAACCACCTTCATCGACAAACCGAGAAGACAAGCAGCCAACACCATACCAAAACCCAACACAAATCAGCCCACTGACTACACCCACAAAAACCACTAACAACACCAACAGCCAACACCGACTGACCCAATTCAGTCCCAAAATCAGCACAGCCAACACCGACTGATCCAGTCCAGTCCCAAAATCAGCCACAACCAACACCGACTGACCCAGTCCAGTCTCAAAATCAGCCAACCACTGCTCAAATCAAACGAACACAAACCCACATACCTACGACTCAAACCAACATACCAGCCTTCCACCGAATCCCCGACAGCATCCAATATATGAAAAAAAAAAAAAAAACACCCAGACCAGTCCAATAAAAAAACAGACCAGCCCAATAAACCCAGACTAGCCCACAACCCAGACCAGCCCATTTATTAGCCCACTGTCGGATCGCGTTTTTCGTTGTAGCTTCGTCTTTCGCACTATTAGTATTGTCAAGTTACAATATTTAGAACTTTTTTAGGAGGGAGCGGATCCTCTTCTCCATTGATTTATTTTTGATTTAGTAGATCATTTTTATATTTTTTGGATTTCTGGGCACCGTGACCTGATTATTTGGGAGCTTTCTGGACCTTCTTTATCTATAGTTATTGTTCGACTTGAGGTATATTATTCTCCCTTATTTTATCCCTCTATTTATCTTAGAATTATTTTTCTGTCACAGGTGCTCTAGTATTGTTGTTGATATGACTACTACTGAAGAACTTGAGACCCCCACTGTTGAAACCTCTACCGTTGAGACATCTATTGGTACTTTCACTTTTATGTTTGACCAGTATACAGTACCTACTGACACAGTTGCATTACCAGCACTGCCGGGCATGAGTGGTCTCGCTCCATCTAGAGCTTAAGCTACCTCCTCGCGGCCGTATTATTGCTATTGCTGAGGTACCACCACCTACTACTGCTACTCCTACTACTGCTCCTCATTGACAGAGTGATATAGATGTTATCACTTCCCGATTGGATATACTTATGTCTGCTCTGACTTCTCAGAGTCCGACTATTGTTGCTGCCACCACTACAAGTATACCTCATACCTTTCATGCTTGTGCTCATAGGCGGAGGGAGGCAGGGGCTAGAGTGGGCACATGCCCCCCCCCCTCAATTTTTTTTATTAGTTAGATATATATATTATATATTTATACATATATATTATGTGTGCCCCCCTCATTTATATTAGGCCCACATTATTTACCTAAAATAATTAAAAAATTAAGCCCATTTAAAACAAAAAAAAAATTGAACTCACTATTATCTACCCAAACTTATTTAAAAATCAAATATTTGACCTATCACAATCCACTCAAACCTATTAAAAAAATAAAACTTTTAGTCCAACATTAAAAACAAAATGTTTTATCCAACATTATAAACAAAACTTTTGGCCCACCATTATTAAAAAATAAAATTTTTGGCCCACTTGACTAAAACCTATCTTATCTTTTTTTTTTTTTCTCTTTGTATCACTCACTCCCAACTGCCCAGCCACAAGAAAAAGAGAAGAAACAGAGAGAAGCTCAATTCTTTGAATTTTTTTGTCCTTCCTTGCACCAACCTATAAAATTATTTTATACATTATATTTACCCTCTAAATTTTTGAAAATTTTAATAATGGTTCTAGTCTTTTTTTTTTAAATAAATTAGTGGACCACTAACTCTCTAAAATAAATATGTTAGTTTTGGAATGAGTCAATGTTCTATTTGTATATTGACGAAAATATAATATTTCTCTTTATCTAACATAATATTCGTTACTTTTTAAGAATAATTTTTAGTTTTCATTTACCATTTTTTTAGTAATAGTAGTTTATAACCTAATAAAATATGATTATATACAAAAAATAAAAGGTTGTAACCCAAAAATATTTCAAACTATTTTGAATAGGAAATTTCTCTATAAGATTGATAATGATCTCAACTAAATTTTGTAACTAAAGAAAGAATAATTTTACTACGTACTTGTGACTATGCGCATTGATAAAAAATTAGTGAAAAATTAATTTACATTTAATTCATATACAAAATTTTAGAGATTTTAAAAATTTTTATATTTTATTGAAATATATAATTAGGTTAAAATGTACTAAAAAAATTATTTTGTATCTTTTTGTTAAGATT